CACTACATCAGCAAGAAGAGTAAAACCCAACTTAGACCAAGACTTAAACCTATTTAGGTTAGCATACTGAGGATCACTGAGTGTGTCAGGTGTTTCTTTCAGAAGGTGATCTTGAAGAACCTAGGGAGGAAAAAAAAAAAATAATAATATGTCTATGCACATACACACGCACAAGAATATAATACTTATGTGAGTAGTATAGCCCATATATTATTCAGAAACAGCTCCACAATAAAACTTGCAAATCCCTGAGCTCAGTTTCTTAAATGTATTACAGACATGCTAGTGAGTAAGAACAGTGTTACTGACCCCACAATGGCTATTTTTGAATCCAGACTTTCTAATACTTAAGCTGCAGTCCTACACTGACATTTTTCTGGCGAAAAAGATGATAAACTGAGGCAAAACAAAATGGTTAAGTTGGCATACGATGGCTAGCAATGCAAACTTTATCTTCTTAAATTCAGTTTTACATATTGAATAGCAGAATAGTATTAAACTTGGTAACAATACCAGCTGTTGGGGCTTTCTGAGAGTGTTCAGCGTTCTTTAATCATCCACTACTGCAGCTAATCTGCATCATTATTCTAGCTGTCAGAAACGTTATTTGATGTCAAGCAACACTACAGAGAAATGCACACAGTAACATTCATCCCATTAATTCTTCTGGTTGTATGGTTCCATTGAAACAACATGTCAAAAAACAAGAGTTATCTTTGTATCAGCCTTTTCTTCACATTAGTAGGAGCACAGCTTCAGGTGAAAACTAAATTCATCCTACTGAAATTTAACAATGAATAGGTGGAGATAAGCTGAGTTTTGAACTTTGAATAGAAGTTGACACGTGCACACAAAGCCTTAAAGAAATACCAACTCACATTAAGAACTTCATCTTTACAGAACGCTAAGGCTTCAGGTTGTTTGCTTGAAGGAAAAGCTTTTTCAAAAGCCTCTTTTGCAGCAGAAGCGGCAGGGGAGTAAGTGTCACATTGTGCAATCAGCCAGTATCCCATGATACTTTTTAAGTAAGGCGCCAAGTGTTTTTTCACTTTAAGAATCAGTTGCTCAAAAGATTGCTGAGTTGCTTCTCGAACACGGCGATCGTGATCCTGTTGAAGCAAAAAGAAGTATACTTCTGATGCCAAGCATTTCAGAGCAAAGAAATCACACACACACACACACACACACACACAGAGAAACAAAAGCAGCTTATTCTCACTTCAGCCATTTTTTGCAATGAATCAAGCTATGTAGATTTGAATATTCAAACACTCCCCAATAAAGAAGAGTGCTAACTCCACACCAACATGTTCCTGATACATTACACATCCAGAACCATAACCTTTCCCAGATATAACTACAGTCATCATCTCTATTTTATACAAACACTTAACAAAAAGACAGGAGGAAACAAAAACAGAAAGCCTTGAAGACGTGAATTGAAACTACCATAAGCCTACACAAATTGTGCACTTATCTACAGTTTGTCTGTGCATATATGGTTATTTGTATATCAATTTATATATTTTCTATGCTCTTGGCATCTAAAAGAAACATCAGGAATGATTTCAATGTATCCTAACGATTCATTTTGATCAATATCATGTTTTCAACAGTAGCCATTCCAGATGGAGGTATCATGATTAAAGAACAAGGTCCAAACAACAGAAAAAGCCCAGGCATCAACAGCTGAAGTTTACCCCACTGCCAATACAGAAACATCTCACTAACAAAGAATGCTACTTTCCCTCATTGTCTTCTTCCTAGATCAAGCCAACAAATTCCAACAAAAAAAGATAGATCAATAAGACCACCTTACACATTTTCACAGAAAACATTCAGAGAAATTTCTAATCTATATACTTTTGTACTTACTAGTGAGATTTTACAATAAATTCTTGGCCAGTAAGGAAGAACACCTTTAACAACTTCCGCCTCTCTTTCTTTGCACATCGCACCAAACTCTTGCATAGCCTAAAAAAAAAGATATAAGCACGATTTAAGAACTGAGACATGGCCACATTTTCCAGTTTATTAGCTTCTTCGAGATACTGCAACTCGCTTTCAAAAATTAATTTATTTCTTGAAATTCAGCATCCATAGAGTTAATTTTATGAATGTTCTGTCAGCAGTGACTGATGGGCAGCTTTAGAAGTCTTTCAAATTATCTTCTGTTCTGGAGCTCTAATAAATATACTGCAGGAACATAGCACTGGATACCTTGATAAATTCCTCTCCAAACCCTCAGAAAATCAGGACAACTCTTCCAGTATAATTTTTTGTAATTGGGTAAAAAGTATACACTTACTTTTAATTTTGTTATGATATCCCTTTTAGAGAGTTTTCGCAAGACCATTCGAAAATCAGCATCCACGAGGCTGTCTATTTCCTCTGCACCCTGAACTGCAGGAACATAACCTAGATCACTCTGCGATGTTCCAAAGCCGATAAACCCAGGCACTGTTCCGCGTTCTTTGGCGAGGAGCTCTGCAGCCCGGCCGCTGCTGGAAGGCTAACAAAGGACAGAGACATCAGTCAGTTGTATACATCGATCACTTATTTAATTTTGCATCCATCAGGCATTCAAAATAATGATACGATTTATAATTAACCTTCTATTTAAAACAAAGCCTTCCAAAATGGGACATCCACAATTTAAACGTTGAAATCTGACCTAGAAAATTATTTTCCTCTTTATACTCAACACTCCATTTCCTTACTATGACTACAATCCATGAACACTGATGGAAATTTATATTATTTTTACACATACAAAAAAAAAAAAAAAAAAAGTTTAATAGAGAATTCCTTTCGTAAGTTAACAATTTATTAAAAAACTATTTCTCTTTCTTCACTACTGTTTTCCCAAGTTCTTCTCACGTTATTGTCTACGAACCAACACAGCTTCCATGGCACGCTCAGAGGATTGGGAGGAAAGGTGCCCTACCAGCAACAAAGTAAAAGGTCAAGAACAATTTAGAAAAATGAATCAAAAGGATACATATGTAAGACAATGTAATACTATCCCATCAGACTGCAGTGGGTGGTTTGGAGTTCAGCATTTAATCTTGCCCGCCCCAGTTAAATCAACACCTTGATCACACTATGGCCTCATGTTTATTTCAAGAATGCTCTTCTGAAGAGGCAGTCCTGAAACTGCATGATGATTTAAAGTCATCTGTAATACTGTATCATAGAATCCAACAATAGAATCACTAAGGTCATCCAGTCCAAATGTCAGCCCACCCTCACTAACCACATCCTTCACATTCACACAATTCTTGAGCATCTCCAGGGACAGCGACTCCACCACTGCCTGGGCATCCTGTGCCAGTGCTTCACCGCTCTTTCTGAAATCATTCCTAATATCCAACCTGAACCTCCCCAGAACAAAATGATGTCATTATCTCTCATCTTATCACGGATACCTGAGAGAAGAGGCTGACCCGCACTCTGCTACAACCTCTCTTCAGGTGGCTGTAGAGAGCAATGAGGTCTCCAGACTGAATTACTCTTTTCTCAGTCACTTCTCCTAAGACTTGTGCTCCAGATCCTTTACCAGCTTTGCTGTCCTTCTTTGGACTTCAGGCAAAGGTCTCAACACCTTTCCCATAGTGAGGGGTGCAAAACTGAATGCTCCAGGTGCAGTCTGGAGTATAGGGGATGACTATCTCCCTGGTACTGCTGACTGCACTACTTCCGACACAAACCAAGATGCAGTTGACTCTCTTAGCCACCTTAGCACACTGCTGGCTCATGTTCAGCAGGCTAATGACCAACATCCATTCTTTTTCTTTACACAGCCTACCAGCCACTCTGCCCTAAGCCTGTAGCACTGCATGAGTTTACTGTGGCCAAAGCGTAAGACCCAGCACTCAGTCTTGCTGGACCTCAAAGGGTTGCCTTCAGCCCACTGGTCCAGTCTACCCAGATCCCTCTGTAGAACCTTCCTACCTTAATATACAGTGAATACCTTTTAACTCCTAATTGTCACTAGCTTTGATCTGGGCTAATGACAACTTGCTGAGGTTCACCCTACTTTCCTAATTCCCCTCACAAAACACACGGAAACACTACCCACAGTAGTAAAATACTCTTCTTGTGCATGAAACCTCAGCACCAGTGACATTCCCTACGGTACCCCTTCTGAAGACGACGGCGAGCTGGGTCGGAGGTACCCAAAAACAGCCCTCACCGGCACTCGGTCAAGTTTCACTCAGGCCACACAAACCCCAGTTCAGCGAAGAGCCATGCCGCGGCCCCTACAAAGGGAACGGACGGAGCAGGACGGCCTCAACTGCCCGCCAGCGGCGGAGGCCACGAACCGCGAAGCCGAGCTCAGCCGCCCACCCAGGCTGGGTAAGACGGCCTCACAGAGGGGACTAGCACAGAAAGGCGGCAGCGCTCACTCACCCGCACGTTACCCTTGGTGCGCTGCTTGTTCTTGCCCCCCATGGCTGCGGCTGCGCTACGGGCCGAGGAGCGGCGCTTCCGGAAAGACGAGCAGCAGCGACGCGCGAGAGGGGCGGAGCCAGCGGAAGTCCCGCCTCCCTCGTGAGCCCGCCCGCTCGCTGGCCCCGCCCCTCCACCTCACGCCTGAACGTACGCGCACCTGGAGGAGGGCGCGGCGCTTTTATTAAGGCGCTGTGTTCTGTGTAAAATTACAAGTGCTTGGCGGTTTGCGTACTCTCAGCCGGGGAAATCCCTACGTATCAAACAAAATCACCAAGGGACCTCAAGGATCACGAATCTCCAACTCCACAGCCACATGCAGGGCCACCAACCTCCACATTTAATACTAGCCCAAGCTGCTCAGGGCCCCATCCAACCTGGCCTTGAACACCTCCAGGGATGGGGCATCCAACCTTTGTGGGCAGCCTGTTCCAGTACCTCACCAATCTGTAAAGAACTTCCCCCTGACATCCGACCTAAATCTTCCCTCCCTCAACTTAAAACCATTTCCCCTGAAAAATGAAAATTGATCTCACAGCTTCATAAGCTTTCATATAGAAATCAATAGAAAACATTGTTAGAGAAGTCTGAGCATACATAAACAGTAATAAATCATGTAAACATTCTATTTCTTCTCCAATGCACACACTTTTTTTTCCTCTTCTTCCTATTCACATATTCACTCACTACAATCCCACATTCTGTAATTCTACCCATTAGGTTACCAAACAGTTTTTGTAATTCGGTGTGTATGCAAAGGACCTTAAAATCAGCAGCTGTAATAACACCTTCACAGAATCACTGGGGATGGAAGGGATGTCTGCAGATCATTGAGTCCAGCCCCCTGCTAAAGCAGTTACCTAGAGCAGGACGCACAGGAAAGCATCCAGGTGTCCATTCATTAAGTCATTTTCATTATTCAGCTGTCATTGAATACTTGTTTTCTTAGAAAACTGGAAATCACATTAAGAAAGAATTACAAATTTCCTCTCTGATCAACTGTTGCAGAAAATCTAAGGAATCTGTTACGAGGATTAACTTAGAAATGCAGGCATTTGGACCTGTGATGATTTAATGCCCTTCAACCCCAAAGTACATTTGAAAAATGTCAGCACATCCTTTTTCTTCTAAAAATTGATATAGCTGCCCCAAATCCATATGATTTCCTCTAGCACCATGCGCATCGAAACATTTTTCTTCCAAAGCGGAGAACTTTCTTTGTTTCTGAATCTCAGCAAGACATCCACCTTCCAAAGAAATATCTTCTCTGTGCCGAATTAGTATTCTTTTCCATGTTAGTCTTCTTATTCTGAAAGCAAATGGAGAAATGTCAACCTACCTATTAAGATACAGACTCTTTTAGAAAATAGGATGAACTAGCAATTATCGCAAAAGTCAACAAATTTATTTCCTACGTACATCGGGACAGAACTAATGGTTCCTTAGTTGGTTATAGGAATACTGCTCACATGCAAAAAACTCCCACAAGCAGCAGCTTGTTTAATCTCCTTCAAAAACCCTTATGTGTCTCCTCACAAAATAATTGATGAATTCAACTTCAGTACTCACTTCTGCCTTGTTGTGCTAAGAACTTTAACATTCTTGCCACGTGTTATCAAATCCTTTTAATCAAATAATTATGTTCATTTAGTCTCTACTACCAATACGAGTGATGGGAGCAAAATAAAGTATGAACATAAAGCAATACAACTATATACATATCTAACAAGAATGGAGGACTGCTGTCCATTGCTATACCTCTGTAATACAGAGCAAGATAAAAACAGAAATGTATGTGCACTGTGCAGTATTAGTAGCTTTGACTGCTATAACCGCCATTACAGTGGATACTCAGAGTTGCAAGCACATTATGGGGAAAAAAAAAAGCAACAACAAGAACAAAAAAATCACAGCCTTTGCAAAGACTTATAAGCTGGAAGGTGGTTGGGTGTCACATCTGCTCATATACACAACACAAAAAAACAAATTACTCTTAATATTAACAGCGTTTAAGTACGAAGAAAAGCTAACCTTGACCAGAACTCTTCACAGCTACTTTGCAGACCTTCTACACAAACAACACCTGGTTTCCCAGGCATGCAAAATCCTGACAGAGAGAGTTCCTTGGACCATTCTATAATATTTTTCCTTTTTTGCTTGTTGTAAATATGGTGACTATAGATCCACAATCTAGTGAAAACGACGTCCTCTGACTGAACAGCATTAGATGTCGTCACTGAGGAAGGTGAAAGTTCTCTGTCAATGTAAGCAGCTGCCTGGTCTTTAACCCATTCTCTGGCACTCAACATGCAAGGCTCACCACTGCAGTTCTGCATCAAATATGTTTTTAGATCTGAGTTCAGCTGGGCTTGTTGAGAGCGGCTCAATAACGGTGATCTACAGGAAAAAAAAGAAAAGAAAAAAGGAGTTGTAATATGCTTACAGACTACCACATTTTTTCAGACAGTTTACTTAGGCTACCAAACAAATCAGGCCATATGCACTTGTTATTGACACTTAAGTCATGTGAAATATAAATGTCATAAAAAGCTTTCAATTATTGTACTAACTCCTGAATACAGGTACAGTACTAAAAATCAGAACGAAGGAAAAAGCACATGAGGAAGAGTCAAGGTGACTGAACTAATTTTCTGTAACACACAATGACAGAAAATACAGAAAATGACATTTAAAGAGAAATGTCCAAGAAAAAAAATAAATCAGAAACTTGAGGTCTGCCAGTAACAGTATTTGGCCAAGAAAGAGTAATACCAGTGAGTAACTTCTCACTCCTCTCAAGAGAGTTAAACCTTGTCAAAATGGAAAATGTACTCTGCTGAGCATCAGACCAATGAACACTATGTACACATAACCCCTTTGTACGGAAGATGGAACTCCTCCTCACTATTCCCATTTTTTGTCTTATCTGCCAAGGTGACTGATGAAATCAAATTCTTGTAGGTATGACTTTCTTCAGCACCACTGTCCACCTGGCCAAATCTGACTAGCGAACAAATTTGCATAATTTGATGGTAAATTACCAAAAAACAAAAAAACACCCAAACTGTAGTTTGCTATTAGATCTTTATTTATACATTACAACAGCTTCTAATTATTTTTACTAGCAATATTTTAATAACATACCTCACGGTAATTTCTGGTAGAACAGATGGATATTTAAATGGTAAAGCACAGACCATAGAAAATTTTACCTAAAAAAAAAAAAAAAATAATAAGCACATGTTAAGTTTGAGGAAACCTCGGTGTCTCTCAATATAGTCTTAGGAAAAAAAAATAATAATAAATCATAAAATAACAAAATCACTCTCTCCAAAACATTATTATAATACCATAGAGGCATTAGAGTCCTCTGGCTTCACATTCAGTATGAACTGAATTTTAGAAGATGGCATCTCTGCAGACTCATTGTCAACGAAGTGCTTTAGTTCTGCCACTGCCAGCTGGTCGGTCACAGTGAACTCTTCCTCATACGGAAACATGCTAGAGAGTAAATCTAATTCTGATATTTGTATCTCGGCTTCTTCTCGGTTAGTCATTTCTGCAGCTTCCTAAGTGAGGGAAAAGAAAAACATACATGTATGTTGTATGAATATGTGAAGAAGTCAATCATATACCCCCACGTAAGCCAAATTAGTCTTTAAAACCAACTCCATCAAAACTAATTCGTAGATGTTGGGGGAAGCGTGAAGTTCATGCGACAGCTCCATTAATTTGTAATGGTACACGATCGAATCACAGAATGCTTTGGGTTGGAAAGGAGCCCAAAGCTCACTCAGCTCCAACGCACTGCCGTGACCATGCCCGCGCCCCCACCCGCACCCGTTCCAAGCGCCCGGCCGTCGCTCCGCCACCGCGACCCACCTAACGCGCATGCGCCGCCGCCACCCTTTCCCCTCCACGGCCCACCCTATGCCCTCACGGCCCACAATGCAGCGCGCCCGGAAGTACGCGCAGCAGCGGCTGACCGTTGCTAAGGGTTGAGGTGAAGCTGCCGGCTGCCTGGGGCTGAGCCATGCGTCGCCATGCCGTCCGTGCTGCGATCAGAGCAGGTGAGGGTCGGCGGCGCGCCGGGATTTCCGGCTACCTCAATCCCGACACCTGCTTTGCCGGCTGCCCGCTGTCTCTCCTCCAGCCGCGGCTCTCGTCTTTTCCTATTGGCTGCGCCGTCTGTCAGTAAAGACACGAAGGCGTTTTTGGCCAATTGGAAGCGAGTAGGGCGGAGTCGCATGCTGGTTCGTGGAGAGGCCGGAGTGGGGCCGTGCGGGCGACACGTGAGCGGCGCGGGACGCGGTGAGTGAGGTGGCGTGGCCGCGACCCCAGCCCCAACCCCAGCCCCAATCCCAATCCCGAGGTCCTCCGGCCCTGTCCGGCTCCTGCCGCGGGATGGGGGTGTCAGCTTCCTGTTGGCAGCAGGTGACCGGTGGGACCGCTGGGTTTGGCCGGCCTGGGGGCATTACCCTGCGCTTTTAGTGCTTTTCGGAGAGCTCTTTGCTAAAAAATAAAGCCGTCGTGAATTGAAACAAAACCCAGAGTTTCCTTGGGTTAGGTATTGGGTTCTGTGGCCCTCTTCCCAGCGTAGGTTGCTGGTGGAGATTCTGTCAGACGCGTCTGGCTGACTGCAGCAGGTTATGTGAACAGCTTGGTGTTGACCTATCAGCCTGGCTGGGGCTAAATCAGCTTGGAAAGGGCTGTAATGGCTTAGGACTGACTGTTAAAGACCAAGCATTGTGATTTTCTGAGGAAAAAAAATGTGCTGTGGAGGGAATTTGGAAAATTTGGGCTGGATGAGAGCTCAAAGCCCAGCCAGTCCCAACCCCCCGCCATGGGCAGGGCTGCCCCCCACCAGCTCAGGCTGCCCAGGGCTCCATCCAACCTGGCCTTGAGCAGCCCCAGGAACTTCTCTTGAAATCATTTAACCATTCTGCTACTTCTCATTTAACATCTGGGTCATCAGCTCTACAAGCATGCTTCTTAAAAGGTTTTTCATACAAAAAAGTCCTTTGTATGTAGTGTGTCTGAGCTGTCCCAAGCTCAGTTATGCTGATTCGTTTATGCTGGTTTTGTTTTCTGGCTGTGGCAGCACCAAGCAGGCAGCTGTTTTCTTGGTGTGGTGCTGATTCCAAGCTTAGAACTGGTTTCGAAAGGATGGATGCTATGAGTCAGACTGAGTTCTGTGCTTACGCATTTACCCACAGCTGACTTGAAGGGTGGAGAGCAGAACCAGGCCAGCTTGCAAAGCGTGCATGAATCTGCAGGGACTCAATTAGGAACTTTTTTCATAGTATTGTAGAATCATTTGAGTTGGAAGGGGCCTTTGAAGGCTATCTGGTTCAACTCTCTGTGGCAAATGGAACACTTAGAGCTAGATCAGGTTGTACAGAGCCCTGTCTAGCCTGACCTTGGGTGTTTCCAGGGATGATGCATCCACCATCTTTGGGCAGCCTGTTCCACTGCCTCTCCATCATTATTGCAAAAAACAAACAAACAAACAAAAAACAACCACCCTTTTCTTTCTATCCAATCGAATGTATTCCTCTTTTAGCTTGGAACCATTCTCCCTTGCCCTATCACAGCAGACCCTGCTAAAGACTTTGTCCTCTTCTTTCTTACAGCTCCCCTGTAGATACTGAAAGGCCACTCTCAGTTCTCCCCAGAACCTTTTCTTCTCCAGGCTGAAAAGCTCTAGCCCTCACAGCCTGTTCTTGCAGAGGAGGTGTTCCATCCTTTCAGTTTGCATTTTTGCAAATGTCAGTTCTGACATCTGTGAGATAAGTCTCAGAGCCTTGCAGGAACTCCAGGCTAAAGGTGAGACAAGCAACAAACGTTTTGAAGGGACCTCTTGGCATGGGGCTCTGTAGTGGTAGATTGGTTTTTGTAGAAGGGTTTATGGGTATGCCAAATACCAGCCCCTGTATTTTCTTGTAATGTTGGGAAGCAACGATAAATTTCCTCCAACAAAGTAATTTAAAAGATGGAATCCCATTGTTTGTATATTTTTACATATGTTCGAGTATTCGCACATGTCAGGTCTTATCAACGATGCAAGGGATTTACAGAAAACAAAAGTGAAAGACTGTTATTGTGCAAGTCTTGAAGACTTAGTATGGAAAAAGTCAGTTTCATTTCCTGGAATTGCTGTTTTACTAGCTACTTAAAGTCCAAGTTCTGAAAATCTGTAGGATTTTTGGTACATAACTAATTCACTTTGTTCTCCTTTGCGTTGCTTTTGCTTTAGGTTTTAACCCATTTTTAATAATTCGTGCTGGCTTCTTGTTTCTACCACAGTCACAGTTGCTACTGTTAAATTAGAATTAATTTCTTTTGCAAATGTCAATCTACAAGTTAATTTTTCCTGAAGGAGTATCTTGGCTACAGAAACAGTGTATTGTCTAGCAACTAACAAATAAAACCTAAACCTAATTTCTGATTTTTTCATTGCTAGGTCACTGTTGTGTGTGAAGAAAATCATAGACTACAAATATGGGAAAGAAACGCACCAAAGGCAAAACTGCACAGGCTGATGAGTCTCTGGATATAGTGGGTAGGTTTCTTCTGAGAAGTCTCTGGTTCTGAAGAGGAAAACAGTAATTCTGTAGCAAGAAGTTAATAAGGGTTGAATTATGTAAACGACAAGGTAACTGTTTTCAATAGAAGTTTCACTAAAACATGTTAGTTTAAGATATGGAATACAGAGAACATTTTTCTTTCAGCATGAGTTTCTTTACTCTGTGTTGTTTTTCTGAGCTACCTCTTGATACTGTCAGGTATTTGACCTTCTATTTGCAAATTTAAACATTTGTAATTGCAAATAGTGAGGAATTGTAGGGTGATGATAATAAAATGGCTGAACTATGTACGTTTCTAGCCCAATTTCTCTGTATATGACTTAAGCATACAGGTAGCTTATCTTCACTCTCAAGTGACAATGTCACCACCACCAACAAAACAAACCTTCTAACAGCAAACACTTTTTCTCAGTGTAAATAGAGTCTGAGTAGATGAAGTTCAAACCTGGCCCAGAAGATGTAGCTATATGTGGAATGTAGTATTATAGTGCAAAATGATGATGGTATTAAGTTCTGCCATTATTATTATTTTTTTTTTAACCACGATCTGCTGCATAATTTCACTGAGCAGCTCAGCTGGAAGCATAACCTCCACAATCTCCACTTTTATAGGCCAGCCAGGTGCTGCCCTGGTGACTGGGAACTGTGGCAGTGGGCTGTGGCTGCTCCTTGAGAGGTGTGGGAATCGTAACACCACAGTAGTAGAAGCCCACAGCCTGGCTCATTAGGTAGGTTTGTAACCAAAAGCTCTGACAATGTAGATATGAGTGATATTTGAATTAGTATTTTTTTCGTAGTAATGCAGGAGTTTAGAATTTATCAAAAATGTGCTCAGATTGTGAGTGGAGGTAACAAAGTATGGGCTTCTGAATGGGTTTTCTGGTATGTCTACTAAGTTGTCATTCAGTTCTCCTTTGAGTTTGGAGAGATCATCACTGTTTCTGGATTATATTGTGCGTCTTTGAAACCCATAGACATTCCACATTTGTTACGATACCTACAAGATTCTTGTGCTTTATGTTTTGTAGAGCCTGTATGCAAGCATATTCGTAAAGGACTGGAACAAAGTCATCTGAAAAAGGCACTGCTGAATGTGGAATGGCATGTTTGTCAGGACTGCAAGGCAGACAACAAGACACAAGAGAATGAGGAAGAGACTGATGAAAGCCCTCCAATATGGTTATGTCTAAAATGTGGCCATAGGGTATCTCTTGTTTTCTTGTTAATTTCTGTTAACATCTTGCAGTGCCTCATAATAGAGTGGAACAATAGAGCTTTAATTAAATGGTTACACCTTTTCATTATCATTTTAAATGTGCTACGTGAGTGATTTGATATACGTTAGTCTTATGGGAAAGGTCTGCTCTGAATTGCACATGAAGTACTTCAAAGCTTGGCACAAAGGCATTTAGCAGACTTAAGGCTAAAACACAATCTTGAGGGTTTGCTTTCAATGAAAGTCCAAATTATTTTTCTAAGAAAGTATAAATTTATGTTAATGCTCTAAATTTTTTATTTTCATCATAATATCTTGTGCTAACATTAGTTTGTTGAAGTTAGAACTCTGCATGCCAAACAATTGGTTGCTTTTGGTTTTGTTTGCTTGTTTGTTCTTTTCCTGTTGAGTTCTTCAAGCCGTTCAAACTAGAATTTGTAAATTAGATTTTCAGTCCCCAAAAGACTCTGTGTTTATTCTGCATTCAGAAAGGTACTTTTCTGTCTGCAGAACAAATGTCTTGAAATAAAGAGCCATCTATTAATCCTAATTGGTTGAACATAATTGAATGGTTTTTGTTTAAATACTTTCTTTATACTCTGACTCTTTTTATGTTTCATTGATAGTCAAAACTGGATTTTGTGACGCTTCTGGTTATCAACATTATAGGGCTGTGGCAGAAATTCTCAAGAGCAGCATGCTTTAACGCATTACACAACGCCAAGATCAGATTCCCATTGTTTGGTTCTCAGTTTGGACAACTGGAGTGTGTGGTGAGTTTGTCAGGAAACAGTTAAGATGTAGCTAGAGGGAAACAGAGGCTGGGATATCTTGTGTTTTCTTTGTGATTTCTGAGAGTGCTTTAGGAATATGTGAAGTGTTTCCACACACAGTAGTGTTTGTTAAGATCTGCTGAGTAAATATTACTCTCTTGTAAAACTCCTAAATAGAATGTTTTTATAATTGAGCTTAGAAGTGACCAATCAGTAAATGCTGTTGATTTCTTATTTTACTGCTTTTGCAGAAACATGTTATATAGCTTTAAATCTTAACTTTGATCCTTGGTAGAAGCTCCTTTCTGGTGCAAACTTAATGAAAGCCTTACTTACTGAGAAAATAAAAGTAATTATGACCTCTTAATACAAGATGCATTGTTTAAGAGGCACAGCTGCAGGATTAAATGATGCTATTGAGTCAGTTAATATGAATTCTGTCTTCCTGGTAATATTCTCTTCTCTTTAAAGGAGCAGTACATTAGTGTGTAATGGAGAATGGTAGCATCCTCAACTGTGCTGTATAGAA